AGCCAGCACTGGCTGGGGAATTCTGGGAGTTGAAGTCCATGCATCTTAACGTTGCTGAGGTTGAGAAACACTGGGTTACAAAAAATAAAAAAGTGCTTTCATCCTGAAACGTCCTTGGTTTTCAAAAATGAAACTCAAGGAACTCATATGATTCAACTATACGGGTAGCGGCAAGATTCATGCTGGCTATTTTATACTATTTATTCTATTTTATATTCTTGTGGTACAATGTTGTCTAACCCATCTATGTAATGTACCAGGTCCAATATTGAGGTATTATATAGGCTCTTTGCTTTCATAATATCTAGATGAAAGTGAGCTACTGAATTATACATCTCTCCCTCGCGACGTTGGGAGATGCTGTGGAAGTCATGACCTAGTCTCTGGAGGCTGTCAGGGTCTGGCTGAGGAAAAACAAACTCACATTCAACCCAAACAAGACAGAGTGGCTGTTGATTTGGTGACCATCTGATTCCTGGATTGTACCATCTTTGATTCTTGATAGGGTAAAAACAGCAGTGTCACAATCTCGGAATCCTGGATACACAGTTCCTGCTCAAGGAGCAGATGGAGATCATGGCCAGAAAGGCTTTTGCAGAATTTTGCTAGTGCATCAGCTGTGGCCTTACCTGTAATAGGATGTACTGAAGAGGGTCACTCATGCCCTTGTCATCTCTAGATTAGACTACTGTACTGCCTTTAAAGACAACTCAGAAACTTCAGCTAGTCCAGAACGTGGCAGCATACAGGGTCAGTGGTCAGTCACAATACTGCCACATTGCATTTCTGCTGTGGGAGCCACACTGGTTACCAGTGGGTTTGGTCATCTTGTGCTTGGATTATGGCAATGTTCTCCATACGGGGCTGCCCTTGAAGATCATTCAGAAGCAGCAGCTGGTCCAGCATGTAGCAGCACAGGCAGTTGCTAGACATGCCTTGATATGCTCATGTAATACTTCTACTCTGAGAACTGCACTGGTTACCAGTAGGCTCCTGGGTGCAATTCACCTACTGTATAGGAACCCTTCATGGCATAGGGTCTGGTTACTTGAGGGCCACCTGTCTTCCATAGGTGCTACCTATCCCGTATGATCCAGCAGAATCAGCATGCTCTGGGTCCCATCAATCAAGCAATGCCAGCTGATGGGACCCAAGACCGCCCACCCTCTTGAATGGCATCTCCCCCAGAGATCTGTACAGTCCCGACCCTGATCTTATTAAAATGAACCTTTAAGCCTAATTCTTTTCCCAGGTCTTTGACTAGAATGGGCTGCGGGGCCCTCGTGGGTTGTCTGATTTGTGAAACGGTGTTTTCTCTGGACATTCTTTTTGTTTTGCATAGTGTGGATTATTTTCAATGTTGTATATTGTGTGATGCCCAGAGTTGTAATGGAGCTGGGCAGCTCTTAAGTTTAATAAAATTTAATATAAATAAAAATTAAATTAAATGTTATGTTTCTGAGTGCAATTCAAGGTGCTGGTTACTACCTACGAAGTCCTATATGGTTCAGGGCCTAGGTCTCTTAGGAGCCACTTTTCCTCAACAGTTTCTGCCTGTTTTTCTCAATCAACTCAGAAGTGTCCCACCTACCAGGAGGAATGGTAGAGGTTCTCTGCAGGAGCTCCCCTCCTTTGGAACATTACTCTCAGTATTAATTTAAGCTTAATTGGAATAACATTTTAACACACACGCACCCCTGACTTACGGTTGGCCACTACCCTGTTGGCCTTCAGGAACAGAATAAAGAACCTGGATTTTTCTCCAGGATCACTGGAGTCCCCATCCTGAGAAGGGTAGGAATGTGAGTCCCTGGCTGTCTCTTAATGTCCAGTTAGATTTTAATTGGAATTGTTTATCTTGTTCTGTTTTTGGTTTATTGTACACCACCCAGAATTGCAATGTTTGAGTTGGACAGCCATATAAATTCTATAAATACACAAATAAATGTTATATTGCCTTGTATTGCATTATATTTAAGTTTTGTAAGCCGCCTAGCATCTTTCTGGTTTCATTAGTTGGTAAATAAATAGATAAGGCAAGACTTCAGCCTACAGCCTGGCCCACATGAAACACACTATTTTTGCAGCATTTCCTTTCAAGCAACAGCTAAGCTGAAAGTTACTCAGTTGCTGACTTTTCCCAATGTCCAATATGTTGTGGGGACACAGGATTGCAATGTGAATTCCACACCGACACAAGCCTGTGTGCAGAAAGGCCAAAGGAGCAGTTTTCAAAAGTAAGAGAATCTTATTTTTCTAATGGGTCCTAATCCAAAGCACCCTCAAAGTAAAAAAAAAAAAAAAAAAGTTTTTAAGGTGGCACTGAGGTATTCCTACTTACTCCAGAGTAATACTGTATGAAAAAACTCTGGATTCCTTGTTTTACAGGTCTGGATATTAT